CAGGCTCTGAAAATACCTGAAAAGAGATAGGTTTTCACCACAGGCTGATCCTGGCATAGAGACACTTTCAACAAAAGGAAGGAGGGAGGGAAGGAAGGAAAGAAAGAAACAAGGAAGGAAGGACAGAGGGGAAGGGAAGGAAAAGAAAAGAAGAAAAGGAAAGAAAGAAAGAAAGAAAAACATAATGAGGAAGAGGGAAAATCCCATTTCCAGTGTTACTAAATCCTAAGATTTAGATGTCCAGTTTGCCTTTTTTTTTTTTTTTTTAAAGTTTGCCACAGGGCATATGTACTAACTAGTAAAAGATAAAGAGACAGGGAGACGGAGAAAGAACTTCTCAGTGGGGCATGGTCATACTGCAATCCATTCTTTTCCATTCAGGTTGGCATTTGAGACATACAAACACGTGTCTGGCATGTTTTCCAAGCCATGGGGCAGGGAATTGTACTGCCAGTCAGCTATCTGGAATCCAGTTCTCTTACTACTAGGCCATGGGATCAGCCCTAAAGGTCCAGTTTTCAAAAACGGTAATAAAATCACAAGGCATACAAAGAATTAAGAAAATATGAACCATTCAAAGGAAAACAGCTTACAGAGATGGTCGTGGAGAAAGCCCAGACATTAGATTTACTACCTAAAGACTTTTAAAAAACTGATTTAGGCTCAACTATGATAGTACAGTTTGTAGGGCACTGATACATGATACTGAAGCCATATGGGAAAGCATCAGGTTAGAATTTTGACTTGAACTGAATCTTACAAAGTTAAGCTTATAACACTTACATAAATACACACAAATGCTTCTAAAGTATAAACAAAAGATGTTAGTTTTCCATTTCAAAACACACTTAGAAATGTAATAACACTGGGCTCACCCATGAGTGGCTGCCTGGATGGCTGAGTTGGGGGAGGATTGTGGCTTGCTGAGATGCTATAAACAGTAACCCCCCTAATATAAACTTTTATTTTTAAAAAGTACCTTTATTTTGCATTTAAAATCTGAGAAGGCTTTTTCCCACCCAAGGAGTTTATAAATATAGGTGGCAGAGCAAGTTTATTATTTAAAAAGATCGTGTTGAAATGGTAAAAGATGATATCCATAGGCATATTCCAATCTCTAAAAAGCAGGGAAATCTTCAAGTATCCAGAGTACCATAGTCTGTATCTTAATTACTGCATTCAACAGGAAGGGATAAAATTTGGGTGATCCAACAAGGAAGAACGAATCCTGATGAATTGTCAAGTTTTCAATTCGACATGACATTCAGGATTTCTGTCCCAATGACCTTTGGGCTACATGGTTATACGCTCTCATTTTCATCACCCTAATTATTGGAAAACTTTATCGAACATAGCATGATACTGGAATGTACTAAGTAATATCTAATGCTTCCGGTTCATATGTGATGGAACTTTCAATGATGATACCTAATGATTGTTCATTAATCCTGATGGTTCAATGAATAACAAGATAAAGGAACTTGAAGAAATTGGGGTCAGTTCGGTTTATAGGACAGCCACTTCATAAATAGAGTTCATTTGGCTGAAGTTGCAGGTTAGGCACTATAGGTATTTGTCTCAGTTGGACCTGAAGCCAGGATTTGGTACCGGTTATACGAAAATTCTCTTGATCATGGATCAAGACAAAAAGAGTGAGGAACACTCCTAATACTCCAGAGATCTTCATGGCTACAGGTTCCAAACCAAGGTACCACTCGGAAATTCCCTCCAAAGCAACTTTAAAAGGCACAAAATACAGTTGGTTTAAAATAGTTCAGATAGCTAAAAGAAGGCATGGGCAAGTATAGGAACCCTTTGTATGAGTGAAGAATATGGATAAAAAGATAAAAATTACAATCATACCAAAAAAATCTGGAGCTGAAAAGTGTACAATAACTGGAATCAGGAGTCCATTTGAGGACTTAAAATGCAGATGTGAGTAAGCAGAGGGAAGAATTGGTGAACTCAGAAGATAAATAATCAAAATTAATTGAGTCTGAGGGAAAGAAAAAAAAGAAAACAGATCCTCAGGCACTT